CAACGCCCGGCCATTTTTTGGTTGCAGCCATCATTGTTGTTTGGTGGGCCAGGGCTGGGGATTCGAACCCGCCACCTTAGGTGTATGTGGCTGGCGCCCTAGCCGCTCGAGCCACAGGCGCCGAGCCAAAATAGCTGAGTGTTAATGACAGGCACCTGTAGTCCCAATTTCTGAGGCGAGTAGTGAGACTCTGTCTCTAAGAAAAAAATAATAATAATTTTTAAAGGACTTCTCAATTTTTAAGCTCTGTGATCTAATGAAAATATTACTAGACAAACTGCTATAAGACTTAGAAGGTCACCTCAGTAGTATATGAATCTATCTTTAAAATGTTTAAATTTTATAATCCACACTGAGTCATGAACTTATTAAAGAATAGTAGGTGAATACTTTTTGACAGTAAGTCAAAGGTGCTTGTCTTTAGTTCTTTTGATGACTATTAAAAGTCAGCCTGCTATAATCTGTTTTTAGAAATGTTACTTAATATATTAATTAAAGTTAGAAATTATACTCAGCTTTCTTTGAGTTTTAATATCCTTCTTCTTGATTCTCAGGGGCAAGGCCACATTTCTGTTCTTGTTCCTCCTCTTCCTGAACCCACCCCATTGCTCAGAACTTTTTTTTTTGAGACAGAGTCTCACTTTGTCACCCTTGGGAGATTGCTGTGGCATCATACCTCACAGCAATCTCAAGCTCTTGGGCTCAAGCAATTCTCTTGACTCAGCCTCCGTAGTAGCTGGGACCACAGACACTTGCCACAAAGCCTGGCTATTTTTAGAGATGCGGTCTCACTCTTCCTCAGGCTGGTGTTGAACCTGCGAGCTCAAGCGGTCCACCTGCCTTGGCCACCCAGAGTGCTAGGATTACAGGCATGAGCTACTGCGCCCAGCCCTGCTCAAAACTCTTTTCTTTTGGCCATCTCAGGAGTTGTGTAGTGTTAATAAAATTAGTCTAAATAATCAGAATTTTATTACTGGTTTCCTAGTCATTTCACTTAATGGGGCACTTTCATGAAAAAAAATTTTTTTTTTTTTGAGACGGAGCCTCAAGCTATCCCCCTGGGTAGAGTGCCATGGCATCACGCTCACAGCAACCTCCAACTTCTGGGCTCAAGCGAGTCTCCTGCCTTAGCCTCCCAAGTAGCTAGGACTGCAGGCGCCCGCCACAACGCCTGGCCATTTTTTGGTTGTAGCCATCATTGTTGTTTGGCAGGCCCGGGCTGGGGATTCGAACCCGCCACCTTAGGTGTATGTGGCTGGCACCTTAGCCGCTTGAGCCACAGGCGCCGAGCCATTCATGAAAATTATTAATGTTATTTTATAGTGTGTTCTGTTACTCACCTCAAAATAAACTCTCTTGTATCAGGTACACGCCCTGCAGTTACAGAGGAATGGAGGAGAGACTACCTCATGGCAGTATGTCACGACTCACGGATCACTCCAGGCACAGCAGTTCTCATCGCCTCAATGAACAGTCACGACATAGTAGCATCAGAGATCTCAGTAACAATCCCATGACTCACATCACACATGGCACCAGCATGAATCGAGTTATTGAAGAAGATGGAACCAGTGCTTAATTTGTCTTGTCTAAGGTGGAAAACTTGTGCTGTTTAAAGAGATTTTATTCTTTGCCTTTGCGTGACTGATAGCTGTGACTCGCTGTTACGCTTTCAGTCAGATACAGATTGTATCCATTAGAAAGGTAAATTTTTGCTATTTATATTGCTTTAAAGTTGGAACATTAAGGCATCCAAAACACTTAGAATTATATCATCACAAAAGTAATTCTTGCTAGGTTATAAAGAGATAATTATTTGTCTGGTAAGCATTTTTATAAACCCACTTATTTTATATTTAGAAAAATCCCAAATGTGTGGTGACTGCTTTGTAGTGAACTTTCATATAATATGAACTAGTTGTGAGATATCATTCTGGTAGCTCAGTTAATAAAACAATTTCAGACTTAAAGAAATTTTCTATGCAAGGTGTGTTTCTCAGATGAATATTAGGAATTTGTAGTTTTATTTCCACTAAATGAAAGAAGATCTGTGTTTTTAAACTGTAGGAGAATTTGATACATCAGCAAGGGTATTTTAGCTAGCAGAATGTAAGTGCAACAGAAGAATCAGGTTAGTCTATAGAAGGTTCTCAAAATTCTATCAAAATAACATTCAGGATTTGGATTGGCAGTGGAATAAAGCAGAGATGGGCATTTTTTCCCTATAATTGTAATGTTTTTATAGCTTTTGTAAATACTACTTTTACTGGCTGTGTTTTTGTAACTTATCCATATGCATGATGGAAACATTTAATTTGTAGCCATCTTTTCCCATGTAATAGTATTGATTCATGGAGAACTTTATATTCAGATTTGCTCCATTGAGGCATGTAATAAGTATCACACATTATAAGGTTTTTTGTGGTAACCACAATTACAAAGTGGCAAAATATTTTCTCTGTATTCATTGTTGTATTTTTCTACAGTGAGATATGATCTTGCCAAAGCCACCAGACCTTGGTATCCAGGCCCCTCCTATAGTGAGTTGATTGTCTGCACTTGTATTGCCCAGTAGCCAAGTAAGCTACAGCTTTTACTCTATAACCTTATTTCAGATTTTGGATCATTCTTGTTTACAGCTGAAACATATATATAACCTAAGTCAAAAGTGGTGATTAATTTGGATATCTGAAAAACATTGTGGCTAAATGAAGCATGATTAGTCTTAACTATGAGTATCTTTTAATCTTAAAAATATCAAGTAAAATATGTTTGACATTTTATCTTGTAATGTTTAAATACTTTACAGTATAAACTGTGAACGTTGTTAGGCATGGAATTGATCAAAAGGGAAAGAAGAATTCTGATAAATGGTTGATATGTTGAAAAAGCACATTTTAAAAAGTGGTCCTCAGCCCTGACTGCAGGTAAGAGTCACTTGGGAAGCTTCTGATGCCCAGCACCTTCCTCTTCCTCAGGTGAGAACTGGTAGTTTCTTTTTGAGGCCTCCTGTTGATGCTAATCTGTAGCCTGGCTTGAAATCCATTGCTTTAAATCACCAGAACATCTAGCTGGATCCAATGTTACGTTTTTATATCATTACCTAGCATTCAGTTGTTCTCCATGTTATCATTCACTATAAAATATAGAATTTGGGGCTCCACTCTTATTCAGTAAGTCAAAGGTAGTAGGACTTTAAAGTCTATAGTTAGAAAAATACGACACTTGATTCTAATGTAGGTAATTGAAGAGTTACACTTTGAAGAATCATTCTAGAGTCTAAGAGCCTGGTTCTGCCATATGCTAGTTTCTGACCTTGAACAAGTCAACTCTGAGCCTCGGTTACCTTGTTTGTAAATGAAGATAGAAGATAAATACCTACTCTACCTACCTCATAAAGCCAAATTAAGATCAAATGAAAAAAAAAGTCACATGAAAGCTTGTTGAAGGAATTACAATACTGTGGATTTAAGAGATTCATTTGAGGACTACTGTAGTACGTTCCTCAACATTGTTAAATTCACATCTGCTTTTCTCTCAGATTTACAAGAAAAACTATCAAGAAATTAGGCATTAAAAAAGAATCTTTCAGCTGGCAGAAAAATTAATTTTCTAATAGTAATAATTTGTCATGTTGTGTCTTTAGAAAAACACATGTGTATCTTAATGTGAATTATTAATTCTTATTTATAGCATATATTTGAACATCTGGCCCAAAATGTTCTTCTTTTTGTCTATCTTCATTGCTTTTCTCCGTGGAACTGGAGTTAGCACTTAAGGTGCAGGCAGGGTCTAAATTCTCTCATAACTGACAATTAGTAAATCTTTACTCTGAAAGCCAAACTTATAACAGTTCATTTATAAATAAATCAAAAGTTCATGAAGCTTTCATCTTAAGAATCTCTCCTAAGAACAGCATGAAAATACCAAAACAAACATTCACAAACAAAAATAAGAAGTTAAAATAGAAGATACCAATTTGAGCTCAAAGATGTTGTCATCCATTGCCATCTGCATTATATTATCAGCTGCCAAAATGCTAATTGGTTTTCTTGTACAAGTGGGCCAAGTATGTAGACAGTTACGAAAATCTTATCTAAGCTTCCAGATTTCTATATATTCATTTGTATCTTCTAAATTAATTCTTGGCATATATGTGAATGTTATATTGACTTTTCAGTTAATTTCAATAAGTATCTTTTTTCCACAAAGTTTATGTAGGATTGTTGATTCATTATTTTAAATGACAGTTTTTAGCTTGGGCTGCATTACATATCAATTTAGTTTTCCAACTTCAGAATTTTTTATTTTGAAAAGACAGTTGAAAAACCATAGCAAAATAGCAATTTCAAGTCTCAACTAGCTTAAACTAATTTGAACAAGTTTGGACAGTCTTCCGACCATATGTTTAACTTTCATTTGTGTTTTGATTGGCATATAATAATGTTTAATGTTTTATTCATTCAGTTGACAACTGAGAAAATAATAGTTCTACTAAAATGTTAATATATTAGCTAAAGATTTCAAAAGTACTTTGATTTCAGCAATATTGTTTTATTTAGTAATTGGGCAAAAGATCCAAGACAAATATTTAAGTTCAAAATAATAATTTGTTTCAAAGCACAATTGGTCAATAACTCACCTGGCACAGGGCTTATATAAGTTTTTCAATAAATATTTAATAAACAACTCATGTCACACAACTCACTTTTACCCTAGTAGTGGGTCTCACTTCAAAGAAATTTGAAAGATCTAAATTTAAACTATGTGAAATAAAGCCTCTGCTTTCCCAGAATATGGTGTGGCAGGTAATAAGAATTGTAAATTATACGAAATGAAGCTTATTTGTCTTGGAGTAACAGTCCATATCACTATTTTATAATAATTAAGGAAATATATATACAAACATGTACCAATCCTTTTAATTAATATTAAAATATGAACAGTGATTCTTAGAAGTAAGTAATTAGGCTCCTGCGAATCCTATGCTAAATTCGATCTTTCAGCTGGGTGAATGAATATTCAAACAAACCTTTCTTTTTTCAGCTGCTACTTAGAGCAGATTTATAACAATTCTAGTAATCTCTTCAAATTAGAAAAATTTACTTCATTTTAACCTACCTCATCAAGTTTTTTTGTGATTATAGCTGGAAATAATGGAAATTGTACCCACCTTAGTTTAGGCTGTATCTTTGTGAAATAAAAGGGACTACTTAATTTTTTTAAATAAAATAGTGGATCATTTGCTAGGGCTTAGAAATAGTGGTGTACCACACTTCCATTAGGATGATATTTATGTTGCTTTTTCACAAGCCAAAGGCACATTTACATATTACCCTATTTGGATGACTTACATAGTCTAGTGGAATGAAAGTCCCCTGGGCTAGCTATTCACAGACTCATGATTATGACATCTACTGGACCAGTAATTTGATTTCTCTTAGTCTCTGTGGCCTGAGTGTAAAATGAGGATACAGTAATTTTTGGCCCCAGTCTGTGTCACTGGATATTGTGAGGATCAGATGAGAAAATTTATTATAATGCTGTGTAAACTATAAATTGTTCTACTGATAATATTTGTTTTTGTTAGAATTTGGGGGTTTGTAGAAAAAGAGGATATGGTCTTCACTAATATTTATTTGTAGCACTAACAGTAAAATAGGCAATCAGACCAGTATTCATTTGTTACAGTCTTTAAATCAATGATCCGATTAACTTTTAAACATCAGGGTTTTTTCCCAAGAGTGGCTATGCTCTTAAATTGTATTTGCTCATTAAGACATGTTATACCAGAGTGTGCTGCAAATTTTATAGGGTTGAATTTGTAAGTCACTTCTAACAGAAATTTGGGGATCTCCATTATATTTTTCTTTTTATATGGAATTGTACAAGTATATTAGCTTGACTTGACTGAAATTTATAAAAAATACATAAAGAAGAATGTAGGCCCTGTAACTTTTTTTTCTTTGAGAACTTTTATGTACCTAATTCTTTCTGATACCCAGATTTTGGAAAGGTGATTACTATAACTTACTGGTTTTCATCATGGCAGAAGTTAAGTCACAACACTATTGGAATTGTTTGTATACATATAATTAATTGTTTTAACCTGTGCAAAGTAAGAATTTTTCTCCATTCACACTCAAACAAGGATAGCATTTTTATACAACTGATTTATAAAGAAAATCATTATTTTAAACTTACTTTATGCCTTTTTACAACAGATAAAGTGTTTACATTTAATTTTCCTAGTAGCTATATAATTTTATACATTTTTAAATGTAATTTGACCTATCTTACATGAAAATATTGACATCTCTTTATAATTTAATTCTTTTCTTTTTTTGTTCCATTTATATGAATTTAGGGAAAGGAATAGGAAGACTATTCTTCCATCTGTTCTCTTGGATTTGGGGGAGTTTTTTTTTCTAATTTTAACTTTTCAATTTTAAATAGATGGTTCCTTAGTAAGCAAATTGTTACTGGATTACAGTTTTCTCTCAGGATCCAAATCTTCTAGGAAAGAAAATGTTAAGGTCTTTCCAGAACCAGCCATCTTTGTAGATGTTCCTTTTTGGT